CTTGCAGCCCTTACACATACAAACACAGATTCACACAATGCATTCCTTACACACATATCAGGACATCCCCTACACACTCCACCCCCTGTGAACAAACTCATTGGTGGAACATGAAGGTGGACCCTGGTACCCAGACCTTGAGCTGTGTAAAGGACCCCCAAAAAATGGAGCTGCTTCCCGTTCTCCCAGAACATTGATTTTTGTGACCACAGTTACAAACCGCCTCCAGAGAGCCTGTTCTGCACCAGACCATTGAAGCCAGACTGCAGCTAGAGCCCATCATCATCCTCATCTGGTTGTAAGTAGGCAATCTAGTATATTATTCGTGGCACTAAGCTCTAATTTACCTCACATTAAAGAAACACTATAGTCCCCAGAACCACTTCAGCTTAATGTAGTGGTTCTGGTGTCTATAGCCTGTCCTTGCAGGCCTTTTAATGTAAACACGGCGGTACTGCAGCACTGGCGTTAGTTAACATGGCAAATCATATGGGTGGGGCATTGTGATGTCACATGGGGGGGCGGCAAACTTTACTTTTGCCTAGGGCGGCAAAAATCCTTGCACCAGCCCTGGCTGGGGGCTGTGTGAGCTGTGGCCGCACAGTGTCCCATGGTAGTTAGGGTGCCGTGCGGCCAGTACAGCTCACACAAGCAAACAGCTGATAAACTGGCGCACGGAGGAAATGTGTATGTGTGACTGTCTGCCTGTGACTGTGTGTGACTGTAGTGTGTGACTGTCTGTCTGTAACTGAGTGTGTGACTGTCTGCCTGTAAATGTGTGTGTGGGGCTGCAGGGATTTTGTAGAAGGGGGCTGGGGTTTTGTATTGGGACAGGAGTCTTTATAAGGGGGGATAAGCAGGGGATTTGTGGAAGGGGGTTGCGGGGGTTTTGTAGACGAGGCAGTACAGGATTTGTAGAAGGGACAGGACAGAGGTTTTGTAGGAGGGGCAGGACAGGACAAGGGTTTTGTAGGAGGGGCTGACAGAGAACCTTTAAAAAATTTTACAGGTTTTTCTTTTGGGGTGGGCCAAGCACAGGATCCGATCCAGGTGCCAAATGCTCTAGGTACGCCCCTGTTCACAGGCGCTGGTCCCTGATACTACTACCTACATCCATCATACCACCAGAAAAGAAGAGACTCTGGTTTTTGGGAAGTTTCAGCAGCCACATACTACAATTGCAAGTACTGATATTCCACCTACCCCCCCATACAGGTTTTATAGTGTTTATGAAAGTTACAGGGTCAAATATAAGGCTTGATTTTCCGTTTTTTCACATTGAAATTTTCCAGATTTGTTATTTTGCCTTTGAGAGTGTATGGTAGCCCAGGAATGAGAATTACCCCATGATAGCATACCATTTGCAAAAGAAGACAACCCAAAGTATTGCAAATGGGGTATGTTCAGTCTTTTTTAGTAGGCACTTAGTCACAAACACTGGCCAAAGTTAGCGTTCATAATTGTTTTTTGCATTTTTAACACAAAAACAAATATAAATGATAACTTTGCCCAGTGTTTGTGACTAAGTGGCTACTAAAAATGTCTGGACATACCCCATATTCAATACCGTGGGTTGTCTACTTTAAAAAAATATTTTCATTATATTCTATTAAAAAAAAATTATAATAAATTATATGATATGATGGAAATAGTGGTATCTTTAGAAAGACCATTTAATGGCGAGAATAACGGTATATCATATGTGTGGGTACAAACACCGCAGAAATGTAAAAACAGTCCTGGTCCCAAACAGTAAGAAAATTGAAAAACGGTCTGGGTCACTAAGGGGTTAAACACAGATCTGCACACCAGTCAAGCCATAAGGCTTGTTATTCCCACATAAATCTCAGATTTGCAGTGATGTTACTACTGCAAGGGATTCCTCATTATTCAATTTTAAACATGGATTCTTTGAAGTTTACGGTTGCTGTATACAACAGCTTTGAAACACAACTCAGGAAGAGATGCAAAGCCAGTGAACCACTCATGGACAGATGTTTCATTGTTAATGCAACTCATCAGTGTAAGGTTGGTTACTGGCTTGCTTTGGCAGGTTGGCATTACTTGCAGAGGACAAACTAAGACACACATATATACATTCTGATCCATGCATGTATATACACTATTGCACACACACTCTGATACATGTGCAAACATATACAGACAAACACAATGTTGTACAGAGACACACAGTGAACCACAGATGCACGCACATTGACAGATACAAAGACACAATCACATTTTATCACAGTTTATTCTGCAGTATTGGTACCTGTGTGTGCATTGTGTTATGTTTATGTGCCTAAAAGGGCGTTACTGGCAGTGATTATACTTGTGCATCTGTGTGTGTACATGTATCCGTGACTGTACTTAGAATGTTTATCTGTGTGTGTATGGATCTCTGTGTCAGTGTGCATGTGTAACTCTACATTATCAAAGTAGCGCGGACCCAAATCCACCAAGGGTGCACAGGCAGCAGCTTCACCAACATCCAGGCACAAATGTAGAAAACAAAAAAGTCCAGCAAATCCCAATCCTTTATTTAAGGTGCCAAATAAATGGGTGACATAATTTCTACACAATTATAGCAACTGAAAAGAACTCGAATTGATTCAGATAGTAAAAAAGCCTCATATTTACAGGATACAAGTATTTTTTAAAATTATTATTATGGACAAATATATTGCAAGCAATGAATTGCAGTTTAAAAAGCAAAACCTTTACAAAATCTGGACAGCTGAGACTATTACTTCCCGAGTATGGCCCTCTATTGTAGAGACCAAAGATCTGTATTCATAAGAATACAGATATCCCACCTAAGTATTGCTTTCTCATATTTTTAAGAAGTCATAAAGTCTGTCTATAACCGCCAATCCCATGTCACTTTGTGGGCAAAAGAGTAGCCGACACATGCACAACAATCCTATTTTGGATTACCATATGTAAAAGAATACAACTGGGCTATTTATTGTGGGGCAGTTTGAGTGTGTAGCGGACCACCGCCACTAAGTTCCATGCCCACTAAGGGAGTTAGTCACTGAGGGAGAAATGGGTCTTGGTGCCTGTTCATTGGTTCCTGAACGGCCGAAGGAAGGGAACTAGCGGAGGTAACCAGTTGGGTTACCTGGTGTTTCGCTACAGAGTCTTACTTTTAGCGGTAAATTTATATTTTATTGAACAGCAGTGCCATACCTGTCTCAGGTTTTAAGGAATATATAGAATGACATGAAAGATATTTGCTAATCTTGGCATGTATCTGTGTTTGCTAATTTTAGCTAACCCTAGTTAAATATAACTAACTCTATCCTTATCTAGACCCAACACAAACCCTGTTAACTGTTTAGTAGACTGGCTCTTGTACTGAGTTATTTACTAAAGTGAGAATTGTCATGAATTTCACAGGAATTCAAGGTAAATTACTCAATTTAGACTAAAATAGCCAAACTGAAAATATGACTTGAAAAAGTTTCAGCTATTTTAGCCTTAAATTGGAAATTCACTTTTAATTCATTTTCATTTCTTGACATTTCTCATCTTAGTAAATAATCCTGTAGGTGCACTTATAACCTTTTAAGGCAGCCTTCATAAATTGCATACGCAAAATACCCTGTACATATATCAGCTCCTACAAATAAAACAGAATTTAAAAAATTCTACATTCTACTACATGTAATTTGGCCTCAATGTAATATTGTTTGATAAGATTTTCAAATGGTTTTTGGAAACAATTTTTTAATTATTTAATATTATAAAAATATTTTAATTTTGTAATATATTGATATATTTTTTTATATATGATGTATTTTTATTTTGATATTCATAAAAAAAAGTTTAAAAAATGTATTCAAAATTATTAAATAATTTGAAAAGATATATAATCAGATATATAATCAAGGCCTATCTTGTATATGTGTGTAAAATTTTGTAATATAAATTATGTAAACAATAAGATAATTATTTTTACTACTCAAAATATAAATACGTCTACCAAAACTGTCCTAATGAGAGATATTTATACTGTGCTTTTTAAAATTTAATATTTTTTAAGATATTTTTCAATTCGTAAACAATGCATATATTTTTCTTACCTTTAGAAAAGAAGAATACATATACAAGTTTCATGACTTTGTTGTAAGGTAGGTGATGTTCAGCTTTGGACTGAAACATGGTGTGATTCACCAATACTGCTTAGGAGACGTTTAGACACATTGACCACAGGATGTAGCCCGGAAGCTCATTGAATTGCAAAATACATCTCTGTACCAAGGTTTCAATCTTATGTCCAGAGATACCATGCCAAATTATCAAGATTTATTATTAATTAGTTAATGTGACAGCAATGTTGAAATACTTATGATTTATTGATGTTCAGCTAAGAGGGCATTCCATGAGCATCATTACGGACACCAACAATTGATATCTTTTGATCTTGCAGCAAGCTGCGATGGACTGTGGCTTCTGAAATCTTCTGTCACCAGCAGCATTAAGTTTCTCAGAAATTTGAACTGAAGCAGCCCTTGTGTGTGATGGAACCAGACGGGCTATCCTTGCTCATCATGTGCATCAGTGAGCCTTGGGCGCCCATGACCCTGACGCTGGTTCACTGGTTGTCCTTTCTGGATCGCCGGGGTTGATAAGTATAGGGAAACTGCACCTAGACCACTTCAATGAGCTGAAGTGGTCTGGGTGCCTATAGTGTCCTTTTAAGTTTTAGTTATTTTGGTGACTATAGAGTCCATATAATTCCAGTGGAAGTTTGGAACTCTTCAGCTATGAAATTAGAGTGTTGATGACTTTTACTTACCATGCGCCTCAGCTGTGTGACTTTACATGGTCTTCCACGGCAACACTCTGACCGGGTCTCCCGAGATACATGGTCTGCAGCTCTGCACACTGCTGAGCTGCAGACCGGATATCAAAACCGGACCACCAGGGAATAACAAAAGGTATTTAGTCCCCCGTCCCTCACACCATCATCCACCTCCCCTACATTATTACCCCCCTCCCTCACACCATCACCCCCCTCTCTCACACCATTATCACCCTCACTCACACAATTACCCCCTCCCTCACAGTATTACCCCCTTCCTCTCACCATTACCCCATCTCTCTCACCATCACCCCTTTCCCTCACACCATCACCCCCCTCACACCATCAGCCCTTTCCTCACAGTATCCCCTCCCTCACACCATCACCCTCCGCACTCACACAATCACCCCTTCCGTCACAGTATCACCCGCCTCCTATACAGAATCACCCCCTCCCATATACAATCACCCTGCTCACACACAACATCACCCCCTTACACAGTCATTCTCCCTCATACACACTGTTACCCCCTCACCCACAACTGTCATGTCACCATACTCCCACACACTGTCAGCCTCCCCAGACACACTGTTAGCATCCCCTCACACTGTCACCTCCCCACACATTGTCAGCCCTCCCCACGCTATCACCCCCTTGTCTTAAAATATCAGCCCACTGTCCCACACAATATCACCCTCCTCCTACACAGAATAACCCTCCACCCACACTATACCACCCCCCTCCTATACAGTATCACCCTTCTCACACAGAGGATCACCCACACACAATGTCACCCTCCCCCCCCCACATACACTGTCACCCTCCATCATACACACTGTCACCCCTTCACAGACACTGTCATACCACACACACACTGTCACCTACAACAATGTTGTGTCACCATACCCCCACACACTGTCAGTCTCCCAGACACACTGTTAGCATCCCCTCGCACTTTCACCTCCCCACACATTGTCATCCCTCCCTACACTATCGTCAACCCCCCCCACACTGTCCGCCTCTTCATGCATGCACACTCACATTAACCACTACTAATCATGTAAATCTAACCCCCTCCAAACTCACCTGCCCTCACTCTGCCACACTCACCCTGTCAAGTTAACCCCCCTAATGGTAATACTCCCTCTCTCTCACAACCCCCTATCCTGTCCCATTTACCCCTTTTGCCCTGTCACTCTCTCCCTGCCACTGGAACCCCTTTACTCCCTTTGTCACAGTCACCAGCTGAAGACATTCATCATACACACACAGTCGGGAAACATAGTTTTGCCATAAACACAATAAACAAAGGCCACAGGCAAACCCCCATACACACAACACACTTCAAGCAGCTACCCCATATACATACGGTCCCAGACAAAAACGCAAACATGCTCACAGAGACATATATTCACACACAAGGATACTCTCTGTCAGACACACATTCTTAGGCACTTACACCGGTAGACAGTGCATCAATGTGTATATGTGTGCATATATTACAACTCTATTTTTTTCACTTTGGTGTTAGTGGGGCCTCATGTTTGAGTTTCGCCTAAGGCTAAAGTCTAGAGCCGCCTCTGGGTGTGGGAGGTGCAAGCAGACAGCACCACTGCTAAAAAATGCACGTTCTAGGTGTGCCCCCCGATTCCCTCTAGTCTCAGACTTACCTCAAGGTATGCGTATTACAGACTATTTAAATATTGGTATTATGGGTACTGTGCCAGTGTGTAATAGATCATTTGGTATTTTTCCTTTATCTCCTGTTTATGTGATCCATGGAAGTGTATTACTTTGTGTCTATTTTATTAATATGCCATCTACTAAGCGCACAAATGTTGTAGTGGTATTTTTTACATTTATAAATTGTGGATATGTAGTCATTATGCTGTTTTGTATTAAACGTAATTTTGTTTGAGCCTCAATTTGTATTTTTATTTAAAGGTTACGGGACATAATTTTTACATTAACAATAAAAACTGTACAAACATAACCCTCCTTCCCCCCCGTCCCAATTCTTTATTTAGTTTTTGCATTTTTGTTCAATACAACCAAAAGGATAACAAAAACTATTTGGACAATAGTGCATATAATAGAAGCACATTTACAGACAAATGGAGTAAATAAGAAAAGATCACTTGTGGGATACAACATGAACATAAGTGACATCATGTAGGACATTCATCCATACAAAAAGTTCTCAAAGGGTGAAATGGACAATGCATAAATAATAATGTTTTTTGTGGGGGGGGGGGTGTTTAACCCCTTAAGGACACATGACGTGTGACATGTCAGGATTCCCTTTTATTCCAGTAGTTTGGTCCTTAGGGGGTTAAAGGAGAAAGAGGGAAGAAGGAGAGCAAAGAAGAAAATTCAAATGCAATACCATGACCCATCCAACTATGGAAGAAGTGGATATTTAATTAATGCTGACCAGGTGTTCTAGTATCATTGTGAAGAGTCATGTAACTACTGTGAGTTGTTCAATGTCTCTAACCTCAGCAAAAACATTGTGTAGTTTGATATATGATGGTATTGTTCTTCTGGCCGCTAAAGCTATTGCAGAAATAAGCTTATTTTCAACTCCAAAAGCCATCAATGGGTCTGAAAAGGAGAAACGTCCATGGATCAAGGTGTATTGGTTTATCCAGGACCTGAGAGAGCCATGCATCTATTTGTGTCCAGTCTGGTCACAGCTGAGGGCAATTCCACCACTGATGATAGTATGTCAAAGCCTGGCTACACACCCTCCAGCATTGGTTGAATTGGATAGCTTTCATTTGATGTAAGTGTACTGGCACAATGTACCTTCAGAGGAAGGTTTGCAACCTTATTCTTTATGGGAGACACATATGGAATGGTTAATATTGGCCATCTAGATCTCTTGCCGTTTGTCAGGGGAAAGTACCTCCTCAATATCTTCCTACCACAGGAGTAGGGAACGGTGTTTTCACTGCGGAACCAAGTAGTGCTTGGTAAATTTGAGAGATGGACCCTTTGGGGGATTGCCTCTTGAGACATCGTTTTAATTTAATTTAAATATTTTGCAGATCAACTGTAGGTAAGGCATCCAAATTAGTCAACTCCTTCAGTACTAAACATGCGTGAACCATGTGCACATCCAGCATTGCTGTAGAAAACAATGATGCCCGAGCATGCATGACTACACCATAGACATTATGGCCCAGGAATACAGAACTGGAATGGAGGTAATTTTGGCGTGTTTTTTTGGTTGGTTTTTTTTACCACTGCTGCTTTTATTTATTCCAGTAAACACTGCAAAAGCATTCCTTTTCTAGTCAAATGACAGTCCCTCTTGAAAGTGAGCTCTATATTCCTACCATATACGGTATATAC